TGACTGTGAGAATACTCTGATGCCAGGTGCTGGATGGCTATGATGGAATACACCCAGATGACCTCTATAGTGCTAAGGTTCGGAAGATGCGCCAGCAGCTGCTGGAAGAATGTATCAAGTCCTCGGCTGGACCATGTTTTGTGGTAAGACTTTGATTTATTAACAAAAAAGTGCAGTGCTACCAATTCTGACTCCAACTGTTGTATTAGTTGAGTCTGGACTCACCAAACACCTGTTGTTTCATCCACAAAATCTTTTATTGAATGCAACAGCTTAACAGCAGACGACAGATGAGACAGATGATTGAAAGGACAGTATTTGCAGGTCAAAACATGGTTATGTGTTCTTATATGACTAGCAGCCATATTCATCCCAAGAAGACAGAGTGAAAAAGGAAGAGGTAATGCATCAATAGCTAGTGGGAGGGACAGGATGGAAGACAGAAAAGGATGGTGCAATAACCAAAATATCCATAAGATGGCAGCATAATAACATTTACCATAACTATGCAAAATTATTATACTAAGTCCTAGTGTAAAGTCAATCACATATAAAGTGCTCTATAGTCTATATAATCACATATAAAGTGCTCTATAGTCCATATAATCACATATAAAGTGCTCTATAGTCCATATAATCACATATAAAGTGCTCTATAGTCCATATAATCACATATAAAGTGCTCTATAGTCCATATAACCACATATAAAGTGCTCTATAGTCCATATAATCAAATATAAAGTGCTCTATAGTCTATATAATCACATATAAAGTGCTCTATAGTCCATATAATCACATAAAAAGTGCTCTATAGTCCATATAATCACATATAAAGTGCTCTATTGTCCATATAATCACATATAAAGTGCTCTATTGTCCATCAAGTGCAACATAAATTGTTTCTTCAAAGAATGCACAGTTCACAACTTCTTTTCTTCCATATGTGCAAAAAAGTGCAAAACCGATATAAACTTCAATCTCAATATTTAAATGCTGCCTTCAGTGCTTTTCACTCCACCACTGTGCACCACCACCATTCTGGAAAACTCACAAGACAGCCATGACCTTCTCACTTCAGAGTTGGCCTAGATGTGATTTTGTAATAGATTCCCCAATCTGATAAATCACTTTGTAGGAAAAACCTCTCCTCTTCCAACGTATCACCACCGAGTGGTGAGACACATCTGTACAGCAGAACAGCCCACACTAGGCTTAGTGGAGCCGGACAGAGATAACAATAGGTGGATATACCCAAGTGCAGGACGGAATGCGCCATTCAATGTGAGCGCAATAGTGGATGTTTTAAAATGTATTGAGTGTTTTAATATAAGGTTTTACACTTTTATAGTCTCTTTTCCCTCCCTATATCATGATGTTCCTCCTGGTGATAAGTTGTAAGAGGAGAGGTTCTTCTTGCAAGTGATTTATCAGATTGGGGAACCTTTTACAAAGCACATCTAGACCAACTCTTAAGTGAGAAGGTCATGGCTGTCTGGTGAGTTCTCTGGAAGGGTGGTGCTGCACAGTGTTGGAGTGAAAAGCACTGAAGGCAGCATTTGAATATTAAGATAGAAGCTAATATTGGTTTTGCACATATGGAAGAAAATCATTTATGAACTGCACATTCTTTGAAGAAGCACTTTATATTGTAATTTGTGGACTATAGAGCACTTTATATGTGACAATATCCATAGCAGCAGGAACAGCTGGAGTCAGAGTTAGGCAAGAATAAGCTCTGAAAGGTAAAGGGCTGCTCTTGCTCTTCAGTGCTCTACCAGTGAGTAGGAACACACTCCTCTCCCCAATATAACTTTTATCAAGGGAGAGCATGAGCAACAGTATATTGGCTGATAAAAATCCAACCTAATGATTCATTCAGATCCTGATGGCTATATGGTGTTTCCAGGCTCTTATTGGAGAGGAGTATGGGAAGTCCCTGCCTTCCCACGGCGATCGAGTCCGATGAGTTTGAGAAAATTATACAAATAGCTGAAGAGCATGGAGTCTCTACAAGCATCCTGGAGAATTGGTACCATAGAGATGAAAATGGGATCCCACCAGTGTATAACCTGCTAGACAGGGAGGAGGTGTCACAATCTATCAGCCACCAGGTAGGTATGTCTGCGGCATAAAGGGGTATTATAAAAAGGTCATTAGCAACTGATATTTTGGGAATCTATGATTTAAGGTCTCCAAGTTGGAGCAAAAAAGAAGGGACTCACACAAGGTATTTTATTATTATTATACAGGACTTATATAGCGCCGATAGTTTGCTCAGCGCTTTACATTATGGAGGGAGACAGTACAGTAACAATACAGTAAAATACAAGAGGGATTAGAGGGCCCTGCTCCTTGGAGCTTACAATCTAGGAGGGAGGGGATAGTGGTACAAGAGGTAATTAGCTGTGGGGGATGGAGTGGTTGGGGGTGTAGGGGATTCCAGTAGTTAGCCAGGGTCGGGGTAGGCTTCCCTGAAGAGATGAGTTTTCAGAGTGCGCCTGATAGTGTGCAGAGTAGGCAATAGCCTGATAGCTTGGGGTAGGGAGTTCCAGAGGATGGGTGAAGCCCTTGAGAAACCTGGAGACAAGCATGGGAGGAGGAGACAAGGGAGCTAGAGAGTAGGAGGTCTTGCGAGGAACAGAGAGTACGGTTTGGGTGGTATTTAGATACAAGGTCGGTGATGTATTAGGGGCAGTGTTATAAATGGCTTTATACGTCAGTGTTAGTGTTTTGAATTTTATCCGCTGGGCAATTGGAAGCCAGTGGAGGGATTGGCAGAGAGGGGTGGAGGACACTGAGTGGAGGGATTGGCAGAGAGGGGTGGAGGACACTGAGTGGAGGGATTGGCAGAGAGGGGTGGAGGACACTAAGTGGAAGCCAGTGGAGGGATTGGCAGAGAGGGGTGGAGGACACTGAGTGGAAGCCAGTGGAGGGATTGGCAGAGAGGGGTGGCAGATACAGAACGGTTAGTAAGGTGGATGAGTCTGGCAGCAGCATTCATGATAGACTGAAGAGAGGATAGCCTGCGATGAGGTAGGCCAGTGAGGAGGGAGTTACAGTAGTCAAGGCGTGATATAATAAGGGAGTGGATGAGTTGCTTAGTGGTTTCCAAGGTTAGGAACGGGCGTATCTTGGAGATGTTGCGGAGGTGAAGTCTACATGATTTTGTCAGTGATTGGATCTGGGGCTGACAGGACAGATGGGAGTCTAGGATTACACCTAGTACCCTGGCATGAGGGGAGGGACTGATGGTGGTGTTGTTGATCTTGATGGAGAAGTCGGGGGGGGGGGGGCACGGGCTGGGGGGAATACTAGGAGCTCAGTTTTGGAGAGGTTGAGTTAAGGAAGTGGAGTGACATCCAGTCCGATATGTCACTTAGTAGGCTGGTGATGCGATTGGAGACTGAAGGGGTGAGGTGGGGGGTAGACAGATAGATTTGTGTGTCGTCGGCATAGAGATGGTAGTTGAAGCCGTGGGAGTTTATCAATTGTCCAAGGGAGGAGGTGTAGATGGAGAAGAGAAGGGGTCTGAGGACAGAACCTTGAATTACCCCAACAGAGAGGGGGAGTAAGGGGGGGGTGGTAGCGTTATAGGTAACACTGAAGGAGCGCTGCGATAGATAGGAGGAGAACCAGGAGAGAGCGGAGTCTCTGAGGCCAAGAGAGTGCAGTTTTTTGAGGAGGAGGGGATGGTCAACCGTGTCAAATTTCATTTGAAATGAGTTTGATTAAATTGTTAAAGTGGAGATTATTGTAGTAAATCAAACTATCTATTGCATAATGTGTTGCATGACTAAACGTCGCTTCTTAAATTATTGTTCTTGGGTTGCAGTGGAGTATCATAGACTTCGCTGTCTGCCTGCCCAACTGGTTCAAACATGTTTTGTCCAAAATAACTTTGCGCACATATTGAGTACTGTTTATTGCTGCTATAGGGTATCTCACAGCAATGGGACCAGATAATCAAATATACTATCACAGTCAGACAACATACTGTACATCTTTTAGGGTCAGTTTGTTTTTGGATCCTACAAGGTCTATGAAGCAAAAGGAAGAAATTCACACAAATAAATGGAACATACAATATATGTAGTGCTACTCCCGTAGCAGCTGCAAGAACACTGTCAAGATCTTCCCCAAAAGCTTTGCCCACAGCCAGGCACACAGCCTCTTTCACACGCTTCTTCAATGAGCAGTCTAGGGTTGTTGTTTTTTGTTTTTATTTTTGGAGAACTTGTATAGGGTTGAAGAAAGTGAGTCCAAAAACAAGAACTATGTGCATTTGAGGACTTCGTTAGGACAAGTCTGTGCTTTCAAATAATAAAAGAAAAAACAAATCAACACAAACAAGATACATTAAATGAACCTATTACTTGCAAGCTGATTTTTGCGCTGATTTGTGCTTGCAACAAACAGTGGACTTCAGCTTTATAGTAGAAGTAGTAGTTCAAAGCTCCAAGAGCAATGTCCCTTTTAAGAAGGAGGATGAATGGACAAAGCTCTTCAGGACACCAGCTGATGTCCCTTCAACTGGACCCACAGCTGACTCCCTAGCACCAGAGGGGTTAAAGCAGCACAACATCTCTAAGATCCTTTACGGATGTCTGTACTCACAAGGCCCAAAAGCGCCTTCTTCTGTGATACCAGACCAGATTTTCATTAGATGGCCCCTCAGTCAGCTTTAGCAGGACCCGGTTCTCAGCATTCAGCATTCAGGCCCTCAAGTCACTTACCTGAGGCCGCACAGCAGCAGTTGCTTGGGAGGGCAGCATGCCCCCTTCAGGCAGGACCAACCCTATACAGGAAAAAACCCAGAGCACAGTGTGCTCAATGAATATATACAGTCACCCTGCATGCCATCTGCATAGCTCCACACCTATCATCCAGAAACTTCTCAAGTTTTATGGATGCAGAGGGAGCTATCAGCCTGGCAGGAGCAGATCACTCTGAGCGGACGTAACTAGCAGAACAAGGCATCACCAGGGGCTGACTGACAACTCATGGGGCCCCCGGGCAATGGGGGATCATGGGGCCCCTGTGCCCTTGCCCAAACTCAAAAAAGCCTATGAAAAAGGTACCAGGGGCATCTCATGGGGTCCCCTACTGACCCCGGGCCCTTGGGCAGTGCCCGAGTTTCCAAATGGTCAGTCCACCCCTGGGCATCACTGATTACGGTGTGCAAGTTATGCCTTTACCTAACAGCAAATTACAATCACACTGACTAGTGTGATAACTGTATTTACCTATCAAAACACAAACTAAAGCTAACTATCTAAACCTAGAACCTACAGTATATAGGGGGGTGCTGCTTAAAACTTTTATGCATATGGTGCTTATTGTGGAAACCATGTGCATAGAATAAAATGTGGAAACTTGCATTTACAGAACTGTTTATACAGTTTATCTGACCTCCTGAATCATGTCTCCAGATAACGTGAGATGCTTGGTGGCCTGAAGACAACTAAGGAGTTTGCCTTATGTCCCAAAGTCAGCAAGGCCCCAAAAAGTACATTCGTATTTTTTTTTCTTGTCTAGGAGCTTGATTTTGATAAGACCTTTTGGTCTGGTAAATATTCCTGCTTTTAAAAGTTTTGTGACATTTTTATTTACTCATATCATTGTTCTTTAAAAAAAACTATGAAGAAATGTGGTACAGCAGGGACTTTTAACCTCTCTACCCCATGTACTTGTTTTCAGGCATATATGACCTGTCATGGAAGACTTATAAAAAAAAAAAAAAAAAGATGAATCAGTTACATTTTGGCTAAGGCTTTGTGGTACCAGGGGCGGACTGACAACTCATGGGGCCCCGGGCAAGAGAGGATCATGGGGCCCCTGTCTTCTTGCCCACACTCAAAGCACACCCAAAAAAGCCTATAAAAGGTACCAGGAGCATTTCATGGGGCCCCCTACTGACCGCGGGCCCTCGGGCATGCCCGAGTTTCCAAATGGTCAGTCCGCCCCTGTGTTGTACTGATAATTTGTCACTGATCCAAAGGTTTTGGTGTTCATGTGTTTGTTTAGATGCATTTTTGGAACAATAGCGCTATTCTAAATTCACAATTCTGACATTCTGCCTACAGAAGAGAGATGATCTGAAGGCTTTTCAGAAAATCAAGGGATTCTTTGATGTTATAGTTCCATTGTCCATGCAGAAGGGAATTCTGGGCAAAGACAAGGCAAGCAAATATTTTTCCTCAGGTAACGTATAAGCTCATGTACTCTAGTTAGTTCTTCCCTGATTTTCCTCATCCCCTAGAACGATAAGTTAACTGCCATTTTGTTATTGTATTTTTGTTATACATGTGGTTTACATTATTTTGTCCATAAATGAGTAGTTCGAAAGTAAAGCATTGTGGTTGGCCCATTGATGATCCACCAGGCCCAGTTTGGTCACTTGCTATGACCACTCCCTCTTGTTTTCGTAATTTCTGAAGAAATTTGCATTCTTGAAGCTGTCCCTCCAGTCGGTATCATGGGAATAGAAAGAAACCATGCAGCCATATAGCCTCTCTCAAACATTTCACCCTAGAGGAACCTTTTAAATAATTTCTAGGTCTCAGGGAAACCCTACTAAAACCAATTCATTGGGGGACAGTGGAAAAAAATGGCCCTTGCATTGGTATGCAGTGGAAAGAATTTGGCTCTGTCAAGTGGCATTGACACAGGAACTACTGTATACAGGTACCATCAAATGGGTCAATCAGCCACCGCTCAAGGAACCCCTAGAAATCATCAGTATTTGTTTCAATAAACTCAAAATAGAGAGAGAGAAAAGGAAGGCAGAGTGACATTGGGCAAAAGACAGAGTGCCATCAACCCAAACCAACAAATGACTACAATAAGGTAAAACTAGAGACTATCTAAGATGGCATCCAAGGATACAGATTTAACACATAAGTATAAAAAATATTTCCAAATTTAATAGACATATGATACAAACATTTTAAAGAATCACATTTGATGCTCAACACAGTATTCTTTTTTTCTGACGAACAACAAATATATATATATGATGAGTGTCCTATTTTATAGATAGCAAGATTCAATTCAATTAATTTCATAAATAAATCCAATCCATGCAATTCCACTGATGTCAATATAGTGGTCTATTTGGTTTATGGCATCATATCTAAAGATACACTCATCTCCCCAAGGGAATAGCTATATACTCCTACATGAGACTGAGGGGTAGAGAGGTCCAGGACTCAATGTTGTCCTATTATAAGGTGCTAATATTGGATGAAACCTCCTCCCTTTCCAATCCACAAAGTACAAATAAGCCATTAGATTCCATGGATAAGCGCTAATTTGTGAAACTCACAAAAGGAGCCATGGCTTTTAGATTTCATCATGCTTAGACAGCTAGTAATATCTGAATATTACAGTCTTAAACTGTTTGTAAACCCTAACAAAAAAACTTATCTTGTTTGCTGCTTTTTTGGCCTGTTAAATATACCATGGAAAACAATTTGTTGCATCTGTAATTTCCTCCGGGTTGGTTAGGAAGTTTTTTTTTAGATAGGGGCTGAGTAACAGTCAAGGAACGAGCCAGCTTGATGACTTAGGTAGTTTGGTTACTTCAGGACAGGCAGGAAGGCTCTAACAGGTGAGGGCTTCTGAAGCCCTCCCACCTTTCCATAAATCTGAGAGCTTTCTGGAAGAGGAGTGGAGGAGGGCAGAAGGCCCAGATCTGCATGTTTGAGGAACCCTGGCCAATCCCCTGGCAGGAGGCTGGGCATGGCGACCAGGGCAACCCTCAAATATGGCAGAGCCTAGGGAGAGGTGTGCAGTGTCAGGTGGAAGATGGACTGAGAGGAAGGCTGGAATGAGGAGCCTGGAGAGGAGCCCATCTGTAGGCAGAATTCTGGAAGGGAGGATCTCCTCTGTCCCATCTCTCCTGGGGAGGACATCCTGTCAAGCAGGAAAGGAGCCAGCCTAGCATAAGGCCTGAAGGCAGGCACTAACCCACCAAGAAAACAGGGAACGACAGAATGAATACTCCTACACACCCCTGGGCAAGATAAGGGGAGAGGGCAGTCAGGTGCAATACCCAACTATTCTTCATCCAGAACTGTTCTAAGTCTACAGGTCTTGGACCCCTTGCGCAGGGAATACCCTCGGGCAGCTGGGTGAAGAGAAGGTATCATCTGGGGTCTGAGGAGGTACACCAAAGAGCTTTGGATGCTCTTAGAGGAGAGTTGTCCTCAAGTTTGCAGTTTCCTTGGGCATCCCGTATATCCCTTGACCCCATCCAAGTTGTTAACCCCTTAATAAAACAACAAAACCAAGCTCAAGGACTGTTTACTATCTCCAGTCTGCAAAGTGTGGAAGAAAATGTTTGTTGCCTGATTGTGTACAGCTTTAGGGGGATTCAAAACTCAACGACTTCTAAGGGGGTGGTGCTAAATATCTGTTCTATAAATACAAAACATACCTGTTGATCTTGTCAAAAATTCAAACATGCCCTGTGCTCTATGCCTATGTTATTTCAAAAAACTATTTAACCCTCCCAACTCATATTGTGTCAGTTAGTTGATATGCTATGGATAAGAAGACAGTAGAAGTGGTAGTTTAGCAAAAGACAATGAGCAGGGCTGACACCACAAAACTGCTAATATGTTGTCAACCAACAAAAGGAAATTAAGAGCTGAGTGCATTTCTAGTAGATCAACAGATATTTTCCTTTACTTGTAGGGCCTGTAAAGCAGTGCCGGGATAAGGTCCTTAAGCACCAAAGGCAACATAAATTGCAAGTCTTGTCCTCTATGCAGCCTTCTTCTGCTGGAGCACCCAAGGCAGTCACATCTTCTGCCAACGCCTTGTCCCAGCACTGTTTTAAAGGAATAAAACATGAGCAAATGTGCATGTATTACAAAGATATACAGCAAATGTTTTATTCTTATTTAGCTTTGACATATGCTTCAAAGTATTTAGATGTTTTTCCTCTATTCAGTTGACTGCTCAGATTTTTGGATATCCCTCCCCTCCAAGTCCTGGTGACACTGGTCATGGGACAAATAAAAGCAATGTTGTCAATTTACTAAAAGGAAATAGGGTGTTTACTTGCAAGAGAATTTTCCCCAGAGCTTGGTAAATGCGGTGAAAATTCACTTTGCAAAAAGTATCTTTCACATGCAAGGAAAATAAAAAACAGTGTTTTTGTTTCCACATAATTGGATGATGGCAGCCAGCAGGGGCGGACTGACCATTTGGAAACTCGGGCACTTCCCGAGGGCCCGGGGGTCAGTAGGGGGCCCCATGAGATGCCCCTGGTACCTTTTTCATAGGCTTTTTTGAGTTTTGGCAAGGACACAGGGGCACCATGATCCCCTATTGCTCGGGGGCCCCATGAGTTGTCAGTCCGCCCCTGGCAGCCAGCAAAGCTTCACCTCAGGGTAGGTGAAAATTCTCTTGAAAAGTAAACAGTCTATTTGCCTTTAGTAAATCAACTGCAATGCATCTCTCTAACAGTGACCTAAACAGCAATAAAGACCTGGCAGGGTTTCTAACCTGTCTCCACTCCATCCCTGAAAAAAGTTCTGACTTTAGTTACAGTTATAATTTTTAAGTCTTACTTGAAAAGATATTTGCCCCCTTATGTACCTTTACTTCTTTTGTCTGAGCCCAACTCTCCAGCTTGCATGGCAGAGAGTCATAACCTTATAACCCTTGTAGTAAACAGAGATTATGGTTTTACAAGTAATTTTACAATTGTTGTTATACTCTTCTTTTGTATGTCTTTTTAGCCCTTGAAGATGAGTTGCTTTATGTTTCACAACACTATCCTGACATGATGGAAAAATGTATCTGCTACATTCACAAGGTTCCATTTAAAGCTTACCAAAAACAAAGAGGAAAACCGGAACAAGCGGAGAGGGAATTCTGTGATGGGTACTCCAGGCTTTGTCATCTGAGGGACACTTTCATTCCATCACTGGTCAATGATGGTCTTCAGGTGTACACCACTACCACAACATGTGACATGAAGGTTGGCTATAGAAAAGAGAGGAAGCAGCAGTATGTTGAAGGTCTTTGCAGACAGTTCTATGGGGACATGGTGAAATTGATTGACAGTCAGCTTAGAAGATGTCAACCACCACTGAAGAATGGGATGGAGGAAATCTTGGAACACCTCTCCCTCTGTACCATGTACTCTGACCTGCAACAGTATGAGTTCCAAGAGGCAGAGGCCATTAAAAACTACATTCTTCAGGATAAGTCTTCAAAGCCAATGGTGGTAGTTGGAGAACCAGGTTGTGGAAAGACTGTCCTCCTGGCTTCTTGTGCAAGGAAGGTAATTAACCAATTTCATTGTCATGATTGTGTATTTTCACCCGTACAGAAATATGTATGTGGTTCTATGTTAGATTTGAAGGCAGCCCAGATGTGAATCATCTTTTTTGTTCAATCAGTGGTTTGTCTGAAAAAAAATGACATGAATCCCCCATCCACACATTCAAGGTGGATGAGGGAACCCTTAAACTGAGCTATTGGATTCTGACAGCGGGGAGACCCTGCACTCAGAATACACTGACCTGTGCTGCTGGCTATAGCCTGTGGTCCTGACCAAGCGACAAAAATCCAACAGGCCCCTGCTGAACCGGCCACATTTTTGATCCATGTTTAGCCAGATTAACCCCTTCACACGGACTGTACGCAAATATGTGTCTCTACTGGAATGGCTGTTTTCTGTGAGGCCGCTAATTTGCCTACCTGCCTTTGTGCTGGGAGCATGAGACACCGGGGTCTCACTGAAAGTCCTGGGTCCTGTTCTAACCATCGGGACCTGTGACTCCTGATTCCGGGTCACCTGATTGCTGTGATAGTCTCTGACTGGCTATCACAGTGATCAGTCACTGTGAAACCCACCCCCATGTTTTCTCTCTCTGAATGGAGGAGAGAGATACATTGTATCTCTATCTGTCTTTTCAAAGAAGAAAAAAAAAAAAAGTAAAAATAATTAAAAAATAAATAATAATAATTAAAAAAAAAAAAAAACAAAATCAATGTTTAATCAGTGGCACGGTTAGAATTTGAGTCAAGGTCGAGGTCAGTGTTATTATTAATTTTTTTTTTTGGTCAGGATTTTTTTACATTTTTAAATTAGTATCAGTGTCAATGGCAGGATAAAAAAAAAAGCAAAAGGCGCA